TGTATTTTTGGAGGACTGTACATATCTTTGAATCTAAAATGTGTCTCTTGTAAACAGTATATAGTTGGTTCATGTCCTATTTTCCATTCTTCCAATCTCTACTTGTTGATTGGAGAACTCAATACACTTACATTTAATGTAATTACTGATAAAGTAGGCTCTGTGTCTTCCGTTTTTCTATTTCTTTTCTACCTGTCTTATGTAATTTTTGCTCCTGTAGTCTTCCATTACTGTCTTCTCTTGTGTTAAATAGCTACTTATTGGGTACTATGCTGATGCTCTTATTGTTTTTATCCCATTATTAAAAACAAATATTTTTTATTTTTGTATTTTTGTTACTCCTCACCCAAGGATATTTTTCCATTGATCTTTTAGGGAGAGTGGGAGGGGTGGGGAGAGACAAAGAGAGAGAAACATTGATGTGAGAGAGACACATCAATTTGTTGCCTTCTGCCCCAATTAGGGCCAGAGATTGAGGTATGAGCCCTTGACCCAAATAGGACCCAGGATCCTTCAATCCACAGGGTCCACAAACCCTTTAGCCCTAGCAGTTGGACTCATTGGTTAAAGCATTGGCCCATGGACTGCAGGGTCCTAGGTTCGATTCCAACCAAGGGCATGTACCTCAGTTGGGGCGCATTGGAGAGGCAACCAGTGTCTCTCACATTGATGTTTCTGTCTCTTCCTCTCCCTTTCACTTTCTCTAAAATCAATTGAAAAATACCCTCAAGTGAGAATTAATAAAACAAACAAACAAAACAAAACAAACAATTTTTTAATGGTTGTCCTGAGGATTTCATTTATGTTCAACTATAGCTTCATTTCCTCCCCCGCTTATTTTTGCTATTATTGACATGTAAGTTGCATCTTTAAACATCATAAGCCCACACAGTTTTATGGTTATTGCTGTATGCAGTTGTCTTTTAATCAAATAGACAGGCGTTATAAACAAATAGAATATTTAAGAGTGTCTATTATATTTGCCTATAACTTCATATGGATTCGAGTTACTGTTCTTTCATTTCAGCCCAATTGATTCATTTAGTATTTCTTCATTTAGTCTGCTGGAATGGAAATCCCTCAGCTCTCTTTTAATTTCACCTTCATTTTAGAGGGATAATTTTTAGTTACAAATCCTCAGTTTACAGTCTCTTCCTGCTGGAATAACAAATTCCTAAGCATAACTGGAATTATTTAACACTCCTTTATTGATTATGGGCAAAATATATAAACAAAAAAAATCAGTAGAGATATAAAATGTTTGAACTAAACTATCAATCAACTTGACTAAATTGACATTTATGCAGTTAATAACTAAAAAATACATTCTTTTCAAGTACATATTTTATAACATATGCTGGGCCACAGTATACAACTCAATAAATTGAAAAATATTGAAGTTAGATAGAGTATGTTCTATGATCATACTGGAATTAAATTAAAAATAAAAAGGGATACAGTATTTAAATACTTAAATAATTGGGAATTAATCAACACATTAATCTCCAAATAAACTCAGGGATCAAAGAAGAAATTATGGGAGCAACTAGAATGTATTTTGAACTTAAAAACACTATATGAAAAATTTTAGGTACTAGGTAAAGCTGTCCTTGTACAGAAACATGAAGTTTAAATGCTTATATCAGAAAAACAGAAAGGTATACTTTTGGGTAGTATGCTGAGTGAAATAAGTCAGAAAGAGAAAGACAAATACAGTATGCTATCACTTATATATGAAATTTTAAAAAGCCAAACTCAGAGAAACAAAGAGTAGCAGTTACCAGGAGGTAGTGGGGGATGGGAAGATACTGGTCAAAAGGTACAAACTTTCAGTTATAAGATTAGCAAATTCTGCGGATATAATATACAGCATGGATACTATAGCTAATAATACTGTGTCACAAATGAAAGTTGATAAAAAGAAATGGCTGCATGTGCTGGGATGAAGGTGCTGGCTAATGCTCGGTGGTGCTCATATTGCAATGTTTAAGTGTGTGAAATCAGCAAGATAAACACTCTAAACCTACACGTTATCTGTTCTGTATATCTCAATACAGCTGGGGGAAAGAAGAATAGAAAGGTTTAAAATCAGTGCTCTAAGCTTTCACATTCAAACTCTTCAAAAGCAGAACAAATTTTAAATAAAAGTATATAAAAATGAAGTAAAAAAATGAGTGGAGATCAATGAAATAGAATACAAGTAATAGAGAAAACTAACAAGCTAAAGGTCTTTGAAAAAGTAATACATTTGTTAAACTCTAGCTAGACTGATTAAGAAAAAAGAAGGAAACAAAAATGATAAAGGGACATTTCTACAGATCCCTACAGCTAGTAAAAGAACGTAATGGTATGAAGTTCTTTGTACCGATTAATTTAACAATTGGACTAATTAATTGAAACATACAACTTTCCAAAATTAACACAAAAGAAATTTAAAATCTGGATAACCCCGTATTTATTTTATACAGTTCTTTTCATTCTTTCACATGTTCTTGTATAATATTCATCTCTATAATCCATTTAGAATTTATTTTAGATTACAATGTGAAGAGAGGATTAAATATAATTTTTTCTAGATAGTTAAATATGCTCCAATTCCATTTGTTAGATAAACACACTAATGTGGCTCTAGCTGGTTTGGCTCAAGGATAGAGCATCGTCCTGGGGACCAAAGAGTCCGGGGTTTGATTCCGGTCAAGAGCACATACCTTGGTTGCAGGCTCCTCCCTGGCCTGGGCCCTAGTTGGTGCTTGTGTAGGAGGCAACCAATTGATGTGTTTCTTTCACATCCTTGTTTCTCTCTCTCTTCCACTCTTCTTCAAAATCAATGGAGAAAATAGCCTCAGGCGAGGATTAACAAAACCAAACCAATAAACACACTGATGTGGATGGCTCTTTGTGAGATAGGATATGTACTTTCTATACATTTGGACCGTTTCTGGTTACCCATTCCCTCTTTTCTCCTCTGAGGCTGCCTTAAACTGTGGAATTTATAGAGATTCACTAACCTCCAAAAACAAAGGGTGCTACATGGGGATGCTGAGAAGCAGTGTGCTGGGTGTGCACCCAGCAACGGGTGAAGCAAGCGCAGGAGAAAAGCATGTCACAATTTCTTTTACAAAAATGAAAAGAACAATCATAGGAACAATACCAGAGGCTTTACAAGCATACATTCAAATTCAAGGTTAAATGTCAAATGCATTAGAGCGGTTGCCTCAGAGCCGTAGGCAAGTGGGGAGAGGGACAGGGGATAAAAAACAGAGTGAAGAAGCCAAAGCGATGCCTTACAGACAGGTGATGGCCATGTGCTGAGCGGAAAGGCACAGAACGGGTGTGATCACATCTCCGTGCTCTGCGAGGAGGCCTCCCTCCGGCTGGTGCTCAGTAGGCTGCCCTGGGACCACCACGTCGGAGGTTCATGGGGTCACGATTCGATTCTGAGTGGGCAATGCCAGGCCTGACTATGATAGATGTTAAATGCTCAGAATATGACGCTGGCTTTTCTTGTTTTACGGATGTGAGTTCCTCTTCTGTTCCCTAAAACATTTATTTTTCTTTCACTCGAAGTCAATTATTCTGTTTGCTCAACTTGCTCTTCCCTTTTAGGTTATGAATTTCCTCGTATATAGAGCATAATACGTTCCATCTTTCTTTCTTTTTTTTTTTTCTTTTTTTAGTTTATTGGGACCAGATAGACCCGTGGTCAGCAAACTGCGGCTCTCGAGCCACGTGCAGCTCTTTGGCCCCTTGAGTGTGGCTCTTCCACAAAATACCACGGCCTGGGCAAGTCTATTTTGAAGAAGTGGTGTTAGAAGAAGTTTAAGTTTAAAAAATGTGGCTCTCAAAAGAAATTTCAATCATTGTACTGTTGATAGTTGGCTCTGTTGACTAATGAGTTTGCCGACCACTGACATAGGCTAATAAAATTTTATAGGTTTCAGCTGTACCACTCTATAATAAGTCATTTGCATATTGTAGAGTCACCATTGATCCCCCTTCTTCTACTTTCCCCATCACCTTTTCCCTCAGGTAATCACCTTGCTGTTGTTTGTGTCAATGAGGTTTTTTATTTTTGCTTAATTCTTTCACGTTTTCACCCAGCCCTGCAGTGTCCCTCCTCTCTGACAGCTGTCAATCTGTTCTCTGCACCTGTGACTCTGTTTCTCTTTTGTTTCCTAGTTTATTTTGTTCGTGAGATTCCACACTGAGTGAAATCATACGGTGCTTGTCTGTCACTGACTGGCCTGTTTCCCTTAGCCTGGTGCTCTCCTGGTCCATTATTGTCCCATCCTCTTTGTGGACAAAAAGTTTTGGGCTGTTCTTGCCGTTTTCATTGCATCTGACTTTTCCCCAACTTCTAGGAATTCCTCAGCTTCTGGTCTGCTGGTTACAGCCTTTCTTATTTTTTACTTTAGGGTTTATTTTTGAGTCATTTTGATCTTACTTTAAGATGTCCAGAGTGGGAGGAGGAAGGCTGGAATTCCTCAGCCCTCTTGCTCAGTTTCCCCTACACATTTCATTCCAAGGGCTTGGGTTTGGGCACAAAAGGAAATGCATAGAGACTCGTAGGCAGTGCAGAGGCCAGAAGCGGAAACCGTGAGGAATCGAGGTGTCCAGCTGAGGTGGGGTGAGAGAGCCCGGGAACCCTTAGAGGAGCCAAGCAGAGGAGCGGGCAGGTGCTGAGCAGGGCTCTGGCCCACAGCGTGGAGGTGTTGAGCAGATGCAGGTAAACCTGCCAGCGGAGTGGGGGAGGTCGGTTTGTGGGAAGATCAGGGCTGGGGAAGCAGACCTCAGGTACTCAGTACCTGGATGAAGGGTTACCATGGTGACCTAGGAGCTGCAGACGTCCCCAACACCTTGGGCTGCACAAGGCTGTGTGCTCAGTGGTTAGGGCGTCTCTCGGTAGCTGGGCAGGGGAAGGAGAAGGGGAGTGCATCCTGAATCCATGGATGAGGCCAAATGCACCCAAAAGACCTGGGGCTTGGGCTGGGCGGGCTCAATCAGAAGTCTCCATCGCTGCTGTCCCCACCGAGTCCTCCTGACCCTGAGGAGGGAGGAAGAGGAGAAAATTAACAAATGGAAGTGAATCTCCTCCCCTCCATCCTTCCCGGCCCTTTCACCGACTTCCAGCCACGGCCCTTCATCCGCTAAAACCTTCTCCCCAGCTCTCTGCTTTCTCCTCCTGCCCTCCTCCCTCCTCCGACGGAGAATGAGGCAGAGCCTGCCGTTGGGGGCTCTGGGAATGCTTCTGTCTCCAAGGTTCGTTCCATTTGAGTGGGAGCAGTAAGCCGGAATTGTGAGAAATAAGGAACATTTCTATTAGACGCAGTTATAGATTCCCCCGCCTCTGTGATCTCTGGTTCCCGGCCATCTTTCCTGAGACAGAAGCTGTCTTTGCCCCGCACCCCAGGCAAACCCCACCCACTCACCCTGCGCCCAGCGCCTGCAGCTCAGGAGGACACACAGGACTGCCAGCACCAGGCCCTTGGCCGCGAAGAGTCCACACAGCACAGCCACCAGGATGCAGGAGGCAGCCCAACCAGGGACCAGGGGGGCACTTGACTTCCTGGTGGGAGGGGGAGGGGAATGGGCCTGGGAAGGGACATCAGCTGATCCTACAGCATCCCAGGGCCAGGGCCCTGTGGCTGGAATGGCTGGTATGTATCAGGACCCCCTGGACGGACTGTGCAGGGGCAACGCACCAGGAGAAGGGGACAGGGCTCCCGGGTGTCTCTGAGCCCGTGAGGAGACCAGTCTTAGGAAAGTCAGCAGTCTGGGCGGAGATAGGGATCCCAGCTCAGTGGGTGGGAAGGATACAGCCGGGGGAGTAGGAAGCAACCAACCAGCTCAGCAGGGCTGTGAGGCTGGACCATCAGCAGGAGGCTCTTGAGGCCAGAACAGAAAGGTAGATTTGGGGGGTACGGGATGTGGGAGAAGGCTCCAGAATCAGGGAAAGGAAGACCAGATGTGGAGCCACGCAGAGGGCCCCAGGGAGCCAGGGTCTGTGTTGCTGAGTGGTTGGGGGACAGTTTGGGACCTCTGGGCCTCATCCGCCTGTGATGGCTTGGTTGGTCCCTCCGATGCTTTGGGAATGCTGAGCGCCCCCTCCTCAGTCTGTGGGGCAGCCAAGGAGGGAGGAAGGACTGTGCCCTCCCTCTGCCCTTGCATCGGCCTTCCTGTGTGCAGTGTCCGCACTATCTTGGGTGAAAGGTGTAAACGGACACTTGGTGGTTTTCATTGCTGTTTCTCTGATTTTTAATAAGTGTGAATATCATTTGGGTGCCTTCTGGATTTCCTCTTCTGTAAACTGCCTGTCACGTGCTTTCCCATTCCCAGGAGGACGCCTGTCTTCCTCTTGTTGCTTAGCAGAGTTCCTTGTGTATTACAGAATGCATTGCCATGGCAGTTGCAGGCATTCTCAGTTCATTTTTCCCGGCTTGTCATCTGCTTAAGAGCTTTTCCCACAGTGATGTTCATTGAATAGAATCCTTCAAGCCTGATGGAATCATTTAAATTCTTTTTTCCCCCCCTTATGATTTGTGCTTTTGAACTTTGTGTAAGAAATCCTTCCTCATCTCTAGGTCACATCTGCAATTTCTTTGTTCTATTAACTCAATAATTTTATTTTTCATGTGTATATCTTGAATTCATTTAGAGTTCATCTTTGTATTTAGTGTTAAGTAGAGATCATGGTTTTGGGGGTTTGTTGGTTTTTTTTTTTTTTGGCTGATTATTTTATTTTTAATTGATTTTAGAGAGAGGAAGGAGGAGAGAGAGAGAGAGAGAGAGAGAGAGAGAGAGAGAGAGAGAGAGAGAGAGAGAAAGGCATGGATATGATAGAGACACATCAATTGGTTGCCTCCCACATGTGCCCCTGATCGAGGCCAAGGATCAAACCCACATGTGCCCCTGATCGAGGCCAAGGATCAAACCTTGCCTGAGTTGAACCCCCAGCCCTTCAGTGTGCAAGCTAACTCTGTAACCATTGAGCAACAATCAGCCAGGCAATCATACCTTATTTTGATTAGATTTCCTAAGTTATTATTTCTAGTGTAGATAAATTACGTTTGGTTTATTGGTTTATGTAATTTGATCTTGTATTTAGAAGCCTTGTTGACGTCTCTCGAGAGATTAATGTTTATGGATCCTGCTCATTTTTTTCTAGGTGGATGATACTTCTGTTTAATCTTCTTTCCCCGTATCTGTTTTCCTTTTCCTATCCAATAGCTGGGACTCTACTACTATCTTAAGCGTTAATGGTAACTATGAAAATCCATGATTTGAATTTACACTTTTTCTATTATGGCACATAGTCATACAGAAGTCATGGCTTTACAGTCTTTACCAAGCTATTTCTTATTCTTTCTAGTTTATTAAGGGTTTTTCTTATCATGATAAACATGTTAAACTTTTCCAAATGCTACTTCTGCATCCATTGGCTTTCTTCTTGTAGTTGATTAGTTTGGTTCTTTCACAGATAGATTTTTCTGAAGTGGAACAATACTTTTGGCCCTGGGACAAACCCCCATAATCATAATACATCCTTTTAAACACACTCTTGACTTCAGTAGCTGATACTTATTTTCATCTTTTACTCCATGTTAATCAGATAAATTTCCCATAATTTAATTTTCTTTTCTTCTCCTCCAGTGGCTTTGAGGCTAAGAGAACATTGGCCAATTAAAATGAGCCAGGCAGCTTTTGCTTCATTGTTATTTTCTGCAACATATATTACAGGACCTATAACATATGAACCAAATGGGAGCGTGCTGGTTGGTGAACACGGAGTGCTGAGGTGGTGTCACCGGAGAGGGTGTGGACACTGGGCCCGCCCGCGCCCACGGCTCCCTATGTCTTGCTTTCACTGGGCTCTTCCCGAAGTGCATCCTTTAGAATAAACTTTGAAACGAACTTACAGACTTTTCCCGCTAAGACCTCAGGCTGGCTTTTAGAAAAGCAGAAACACTGTGAAAGATTGAAGTAGCCCAAGGCATACACAATGAAACAACTTTTGGTGTTGCATAGGACAAGGACGTGGTCTTGTAGACGTTGGAAAGTCGGGATTTGAAGCAGTTACGACTGCCTCTGCCAAGTAGACAAACAGGTGCCAGCAGGGAATACGTATAAACACTAAGAGAAACAGGGATTGGCAAGTCAACTCAGTGTCTACAACAGGCTGTCCCAAAGGCTCTGTGGAAGCATCGTTTTTCCTGGCCTTTTCAGCAGTCCGTGGCTGCCGTGGACCTAAAGCTGCCTGGCTGTTATACCCTCTGAGAAGCCCAGTGGATGTCAGTGCAAGTAAGAGGCGCTTCAGGAAGTAGAGAAGGAAGACTTCAATACGACGTTCTCAAATTATTTATACCACAAGCCTGGAGATGGCACAGTTCTTACAACACAAGCCCTACAGAGATTGTTTACACAGAAATATTAAAGAATAAAATTAGGAACGAATAAAGAAAGGTACTCAGCACAAGGTAGCAGTTTCTTCTGTTAAAGAAAAAGTGTCCCAAAGTGTTAGAAAAGGCACTTAAGCTGCAAGTGGGTCCCTCTGTGTTTCCTGAAACACCTATTTCTCCTTTAACGATGGCACAAGGTGCTCCACCCAACGCTTCCTCACAAATAGCGGCCGGGGTTACAAGGGGTGTTCAGAGGAAATCAGATACAACTCCCACAACTTCAGTAGGTAAAGCAAGTGGTGAGTTGTCCCCAGCACTTACGGGATGTGGGGGGCACAGAAAAACCTCCTATAAAAGAAACTGCTGAAGAACGTGTTGCCAGATTGTCAGCAACAAAATTAAGTTGTAAAGAGAGTTAAAGTAACTGAACAATGAAGGCACTGTAGTGAGATTCTTAAAGATGTGCTTGCAAAGAAGGACTTTTCAGCCCTAGCTGGTTTGGCTCAGTGGATAGAGCGTCGGCCTGCAGACTGAAGGGTCCCAGGTTTGATTCCTTGGTTGTGGGCACATCCCCAGTTGGGGGTGTGCAGGAAGCAGCTAATTGATGTTTCTCTCTCATCGATCTTTCTGACTTTCTATCCCTCTCCTTTCCTGTCTTTAAAAATCAATAAAATACATTTAAAAATATATATATATTATTAATTTTTTATAGAGAGGAAAGGAGAGAGATAGAAAGTTAGAAACATTGATGAGAGAGAAACATCCACCAGCTGCCTCCTGCATAACCCCTATCGGGGATGTGCCAACAACCAATGTACATGCCCTCGACCGGAATCGAACCCAAGACCTTTTAGTCCACAGGCTGACGCTCTATCCATTGAGCCAAACCGGTTTTGGCAAAATATATATTAAAAAAAAAAAAAAAAAGCACTTTCACATGCCTGGCCCTTGATGTTAATGTGTTGAGACTCCATAACTACCATGATATTGTGAAAAATCCAACAGCTCTTGGAGCTATCAAGAGAAAAAAATGGACAACCGAGTGTGTAAGGATGCATGTGAATCTGCCACAGATGCCAGATTAATGTTTATGAATCGCTTGCTACGGATGCAGTCCTCCGGATCATGAGGTAGTGACAATGGCAAGTGTGCTCCAGAGTGTTTCTGAAATAAATTTTGCAAAGATCCCAGATGCATGTGCCTGTATGTCACATCAAAACAACACCACAAAATCCCCCAGTGGGGAAGGCGGTGTGATGCTCCCTCTGAAGCGGACTCTTCTGTGAGTCTGAAGGTGCATTTGGTCATCACTTTGCAAAGCTCCAGGAGCAGCTTAGAGCTGTTTGCCAATACGAACAGGTTCTGCCCCAAGTACCTTTCCATACACTGAAGCAAAGGAATGAGACGTCTGAAATGGAAAAGTACAGGCTAATAGCAGAGATGAAAATCCAAGAGGACAAGTTTAAGCAAATGAAATGAAAGGAAAAGCAATGAACCAAAGAGAAGACAGCCAGGGTTGGCGCTGAACTCTGATGAAGAATGTGATACTAAACCTCTGAGCTATGGTGAGAAAAGGCAGTTAAGTCTGGACATAAGCAAACGCCCTGGAGATAAGCTTGGGAAAGTTGTTCATATCATACAATCAATAGAGCTTTCACTGAGACCTTCCATTCCTGGATGAGGTAGAGACAGGCTTTGAGACCCTGAACACAACGCTGAGAAAACTGGAAAACAGGTTGCTGTGTGTCTGAGAAAAAGACCACGAAAACCTCGTGGCGAGGAAATAATGATGTCCAAGAACTTCATTCACAGGAAAATTCAGGGGTTGGAAAAGTGATGGCTGGATGTCAATAATCAGTTCAATTCCAGAAAACGTGAACCCAGATCTGAAACAGCTCTGTCCTCTCGGGTTGGAGGTGGCTTTTGACTGAGTGGCACATGGCGGCAGGTCCTCAGAGTCTGAAAGCAGCAGGCTGAGTCAGGGCTCCAAACACAGTGGTGCCCAATCAGGTTGCATCCCTTAACTGCACGTCTGGCTGTGGGGAAATTTTTTTCTTGTAATATTGAGACGTATTTTGAAGAAATGTTTGTTATATACACAGAACATATGGCTTGGATGCCACACTTATTATTTAATTGCATGTTGATGATCTGGCTATTTTCCTTAAGAGATGTAAAATGAAACTTCATACCATATGTACATGACTTATTGATTTGTAATCCTATATGATAAAAGCCTAATATGCTAAGTGTCCAGTTGTCCAGCATTTTCTATTGTTTTAGAATGTGTCCACTCCTGGGATTTCAAGGAGTATTCATTCAGGATTTATTTATTTAAAAATCTTTGTAGAATGCGTGGCTATTTTCTTCAATTTAATGTTTATTTGTATCTTATATGTTCATCAATCTTGTCAGAAGTAGGCCTACCTTATTAAACTTTTCAAAGAACAAATTATAAGTTTTTTTCATCTCCACATTTTAAATCCCTTTAGTTGATTTTGGGCCCTCACCATTATTATTTTTCTTCAGGCTTGTTCTGCTGCTCACTTTCCCATCTTTTTGAGTTAAGTGCTTAGCTCATCTATTTACATCCTTTTATGTTTCTAACAAAATGTATTTAAAGTTGTTAATTTTACCTCTAAATATTAGTTCTGCCTCATAATTTTTATATGTAATGTTCATACTATCATGATATATTACTATACACTTATTTATATATAATATATCAATAACTATTACTTTGTTTCAGAGCATGCTATTTTAGCTTCAGTTCAATGCATTCTCAATTTTATTGCATTATGTTTGAAGAATTTATTCCATATCATTTTAATTCTTTAGAATTTATTAAAGCTTCTTTTACTTCCTCATACAAAGTTCACTTTTTGGTCTCTCTGTATCTAAGAATGTTTATTATCTACTTTTATTTACATAGAGTGTTTTATATATGTCTGTACACATGCATATTTATAAATAATATATTTTATTAAATACTCATAATACATTTCTAAGTTGAAAACATTTTAAACATTTAAATAGATATTTTCAATATTTGAAAATAGTATTTATTTTAAGATATAGTTTATTATATATTATAAATGTATGTTATAATAAATATAACATCTAAAAGTATTATATAAATATGTATGATACCCAAAGTTCTGGATTAGAACTTCAGTTCCTGTTTATTTTTTGCTTCTTTGATCTATATACTCTTTTGAGGGGGATGTGACTCTCCAACTACAGTTATTTTCTTTCCTTGCAGGTGTGATAGTGCAGCCTCGTATACTTTATGGCCATACATGTAGGTACATACATACTTATGATGGATCAATTTTCTTACTGAGGTGTGCCTCTTATCAGTACTTATGATAAATCTCTGCCTCATAATATTTTTTCTTAAATTCTATCATTTTGTTCAATATTATAACTATTGCAGCTGTTTTGTTTTATATTAGCCAGGTATGTTTTTCTAACTTTTTACTTTTAACCCTTTAAAATCTTTTGGGGTATCTCTTAAAGACAAATTTTTAAAATTCAACTGACAGTTTATTCTTTTTTTTTTTTACAACTACAAGTCATTTTTACAAGAAACTGCACTTCTGTTTCCAATGGTTTCTGTTCCTTTGTGTGATGTCATTTTCTTAAAGTGCAGTTCTCCCAGATGCAGTGCTGTTTTGGCTGGTAAATCCAGTTTTCCCCGGAGTTAGCATACACCGGTGTGGTCACAGGTGAAGGGGAAGAACGGAAGGGTAAACCCTTCTATCTAGGGAGTAATAAAAGTGGGGAGGATAGGCCCCAGAACACATGGGCACCCCTTGGGTACCCACATTGCTGCTATTCCCATCTTCTAGTCCAGATTTCAACGTTAAATTCTCTGGGAAATACTCCTCTGGTTCCTAACCCACCTGCCTTGGAGTTTAAAGAAGAAAGGAATTAGGGAGCAAATATCCATGGGCAATGTATATTCATCAGGGCTCCGCTGCTTTTGCTGTGCCTCACCTGCCTTCTTCTCCCCCCCCACCCCCGCCAGTCCCCTCCCCCACCTCCGCCCTGGGCTGCTGCAGCCTAATTCTATGGGAGGACATGACAGTCTCAAGGTGCATGACTACCAGAGTCAAGAGCAGAAATCAAGTTTCCTCTCACCTGTTTCTTGCTATGGCTCCAGCCACTGTCTGCCCCAGACATACCCACCATTAAACATACCAACACAGCCTCCAGCTCCCACATTGTTTTAGTTCCATTTGGTCTCATTCCAGAAATCCATGGCTAGCTTTTCCATAGCTCCTCCCAAGTTCATGACCTGTATCGTCCTCCCCGTTTCTCTCTCCCCAACTTTGTACCTGAGCCCCTGTGGCTCCTCTGCAGTACCCTGGGCCTCCATCGTCTTGGAAGAATCTTGGGTTTCCTCTTTGTGATTCTGAGGCTGCATGAGCTACCTGGCCATCCCTTCCAGGATCCTCCCTTCTGGTGAGACTCCCGACCTACCTGAGTTCAGATCCATTGAGGGAAGGTGGACCAGAGGTCCCCTCTGGAGAAGTGATCTGAACTGGAAGGACATAAAGAAAACCATGGCTGCTCAGGAGACCAGAATATAGCATGGGATTAACCTCCAAACCTTTGGAAGGAAGTACAGAGGAGACAGTCCCTCAGGGCCCGGTAGGCCAGGGGTAACTGGGACTTAGGATCATTACAAGCGATTGAAGCCAGGCTGGCACTGGACCCAAGGAGAGGAGTTTCTCCCTGAGCTGAAGGTAAGCAAGGGGCAGAGCTGGGACAAGCAGGTACAAGGTCTTTTAGGACAGACTTGCCTCTCGGGACACCCCACCATCCATGGTTGTCTTCCTGGTCAGATCAGATGGGGCACGTTTTACTCCCCGGGTCTTAAGCCCTGGATCCAGCTCCCCACCAGCCCAGGCCCAGGGCTCCACCCCCAGAAGCAGGCCTCCATGGTGCCCCCTTTCCTGAGTCTGAGGTTCCCAGGCTACCTGGCCACCCTTTCCTCTCCTTGCACTGAGACCTTTGACCTACCTGTACTTTCCAAGGGCCAGGCGGTGGTCCACATAGGAGAAGGGGTCAGGGCTAAAGAGACAAGAAAGTAGGCAATGACTTTCCGGAGGCCAGAGACAGAATCGGGTCTGGTCCCAACGCTGTGAGAGGAAGTAGATGACCCAGAGATAGTCCCTCAGGGTTCCTCAGGCCAGGGGTGACTTGTGACTAAGGGCTGTACACCAGAGGTGTTGACGTGTGTGTGAGAAAAAGAGAGTCATAGAGAGACTCCTGTCCAGTGAGTCCTGAGCATCTCTTCCCACCAGCGGGAGCCAGAATGGGCAGAATGGAACGAAGGTGGCAGCCCTTCTCTGGAGACAGGGGGCTCAAGCCCCTTGGGCATCTGGAGTGGTGTTGTGCCCAGGCCCTGGGAGGGAGGGGCCATTTCCTCAAGAAAGGAGCTTACCTGGAGACACCAGCAGGCTGATGTTTCTGAGAATAGTGACCATGTCTCTGGAAGAGTTGTAGATTCCACACCAGTAGGGCCCGGAGTCCTTCTCAGTCAGCTGAGCCATGCTGATGTTGAAGAAACCAGCATCGGGCACGTCCCAGATCATGTATCGAGAATCCTGAGTCTGGGGCCCAGAGCTGGTGACTAACCTGGTACAGAAATTTGGAGATGTCTGCCGACACCAGGTTTTCTGCCTGTAGGATCCTCCCTCAGGAGAGTACTGGCATCGCACGGAGAGGGTCTGCCCCGCCACGTAATGGAGCTCCTCAGGCACAACTTGTCCCCAGGAACCTGGAGAACAAGCCCTCATGTCAAGGTCCTCGCTGGACCCAGCCACCCCTGTCACAGGGTGTGGAAGGAGAGAAGGACCAACTTCTGATGCCCACACCCAGAAAATGGTACCCAAAGCCAGCCCTCGGGTCACAGAGCCGCCCTGCCCCCTGCCCCAGCTCTCTTCTTTATTTCCTGCGTCTCACCTGAGGCCAGGAACACCAGCAGGACAGGTGGCAGAAGGAGGCATGGGGCTCCCCAAGCCATACTACCCCCAACCTGTGTCTGACCGTGGCAGGCAGAGAGAAAGGGGAGGCCTCTGGGGAGAGGGAACCAGAAGCTGGACCTAATTCTGCCCCAGCTTCCCAGCATCTCCGAAATGGGAGAATTGAGAAAGCCCAGCACCTTTGTTGGGGAAGTGGTTGGCCCAAGAGGGAGGCCCTGTGGGCGAGGGGCGGGGGGAGCAGCCAGGCCTGGTTGGGGGGGGGGGGGCCACCAGCTGAGGGTCTGTCTCTGGCCTGGAGACCTCAGCTCTGACTCAGTCGCTTCTTTTTGCCTAACTTCTCCCCATCTTTATAGCTCCACACCTCCTACCTATTACACTCCTTCATTGTTGCTGGTGGGACCTCTGAGAATGTCAGAGAAGAAACCATGGTGCAAAAGAGGCGGTTCCTCTTTTCTGGCTCTCTGTGCAGCCTGTGAATGGTTGGGGGCCCTTGGTGCCTGACTGCAGTCCTGAATCCCTCTGATGAGACATGAACCCCACTCCCAGGCCTGGTAGGTCTGTAATGTGCTTTTATTCTAGGAGGTTGGGGTGGGCAGAGTTTCAATTCCAGAAACTGTAAGGATGGCCCCTGAGAAAGGTGGGGTCCAGGGGAGGTGGGAGGGAGGGAAGAGAACCCTGAATGGGGACTCTCAGAGAGGAGGGGATGGGAGGGGAGGAGGCAGTGGGTCAGTTGGGTTGGAGGAGGAGAAGGCAGGGAAGGGGGCTCAACGACATGTTCATATCTTCAGTTCTCACTCCCTAGTAGTGTTCAATCAATTTAGTGTTGATTAAAGGAATTTGTGAGTGGGTGAAAAGAGGAAACATCTTTTTGTTTTAATAATGTGTATGTAGCTCTAGTCAGTTTGACTCAGTGGATAGAGCATCGGCCTGCGGACTGAAGGGTCCCAGGTTCAATTCTAATCAAGGGCATGTACCTTTGTTGTGAGCACATCCTAGGTAGGGGGTGTGCAGGAGGCAGCTGATCAATGTTTCTAACTCTCTATTCCTTTCCCTTCCCCTCTGTTAATATATATATATAAAATAAAATTTTTTAAATACACAGATATTTCTTTTTTAAAAAAATAATGTGTGTAAAAATGTATGGAGGGGAAAAATGGCCAATGCTGGAACAGCCTGAGCAACAAAATAAAGTGGCGTTGAATTATAACCCAAGATATAAAATAAATACACATGAGTTTGTACTAATATAAGTAAATGGTTGAAAAATATGTGGGGAGAATAGACAGATCTCCCATACTGAAGAATCCCCATAATTTATGTAGACACTTGGCCCTTAAAGAGGGGCAGCGTAACTCCCCATCCCTGAAGTCTGGGCTGTCCTTAGTGACTTCCCTCCAGAGAAGACGGAGTGGAAGTGGGGGGAGGAGTAGCTTCCAGTGGAAAAACCTGGCACCAGTTCAGCCTGGTGACCAAGGGTAAGAACAACAGTGATTATTGTGTTGATAGCATGTACCCTTGCTATGATGTGATGAGAATGGCACTTTACTCTATGATCATCCTCCCCCAAACCTCTAACCCTAAAAGAAAAAAACATCAAACAACTCTCAAATGAGGTACATTACAAAATACCTGATCAGTACTCCTCAAAACTGTCCAAGTCATAAAAAATAAGGAAATTCGCCCGGCTGGTGTGGCTCGGTGGTTGAGCATCCAACCAGGAACCAGGGGGTCAAGGTTTGACTCCTGGTCAGGGCAAATGCATGGGTTGTGGGCTCGATTCCCCAGTAGGGGGCATGCAGAAGGTAGCTGATCAATGATTCTCTCTCATTGATGTTTCTATCCCTATCTCCCTCTCCCTTCCTCTCTCTGACATTAAAAAATAAGTAAATGCTAGTAAATAAAAAGGAAATTCTGAGAAATTGGTTTAGCCATGACGACCAAATGTCACCAGGTATCTGAAACAGAAAAGACATTAGGTAAACGTTAAGAAAATCTGAATGAGGTCTATGTCATGATGGACTGATTGATTGATTATGACAATATACCATGTTCATGTAAGGTATTACTAATAGCGGAAACTGGGTGTCTGGAAACTCCCTTAATAACCTTGAAACTTTTCTGAAATCTAAACCTATTCTAAAATTTTTTTAAATGTAGACAGATGATTTGTATAAAACCTGTTTGTAAATACTTGATTACTAACAACAACAAAAGAAAGTATTATTTAAGAATGGAGTTTGGTCAGGCACAAAAAAATACTGATTGGGGGAAGGTCAATGGCGGGGGGGGAGACATATGTACTAGTATTTGTAATAATTTAAACAATAAAGCAAAGGACGAGGGGGAGGAGGAGAAGAAAAAGGAGAAGAAGGAAACTGATTGCAGCCCTGTCCAGTTTGGCTCACTGGTTGCAGCATCGGCCTGCCTACCTACGGGTCACAGGTTCGATTCCCGATCAAAGGCCCATAAATACCTCACTTACAGGTTCCCCAGCCTTGGTCTGCTCGTACAGGAGGCAACCAGTGTCTCCCTCTCTCTATCTGCCCCCCTTCCTCCCGCTGCCCCATCTCTTCTACTCCCTCTAGAAATCAATGAAAAAAAAAAAAATATCCTCGGGTGAAGATTAAAAACAAAGCAACAAGACAGAACCCAACTGCAGTCATGTAAGGGACGAGCTAGCGAAGATCCACTGGCCGCGCTGCACACGGACTCCAGGTGTGTCCCTGCGGGTGTGGAACTCGGCCGCTCGTTCCCCAGCTGGTTGCACCTTGCTCTCCTTCGCGTGATCAGTCTTCAGAGCACCCTGTTCGGGCAGGGATTGCTCCTTAAAATGAACGGACACTCCCCTCTGCTCAGGAGCCCACCTGTCCCGGAACCTCCCTGCCCTGGTCCTGCCGCACACCTGGGCCCTGGGAGCCTCAGGGAGGAGGGTGGTCACAGGAGACAGGAGGTGGGGAGCTGCAGCTCCTGAGGCCAATGACCAGAAGGTCTGGAGCCCAAGCTGCCAAAGGCACCAGGACGCTGAGGGTTAGAGGGGAAATGGGGGGGGGGGGGGGCCTGCAGTTACTGCCGGTCTATGACCAGGTGTCCTCACATCGAGTACAGGCGAGTGCTCAGCTACCCTGACCTACCTGGATGTCTTGGCTGGGTCAGAGGCCCCGGCCTGAGCTCAGACCCCACCATCTGTATCCACCCAATGTGCCCAGTCCCCACATGGCCCCACCCTGACTGCCACTGAGATTCTGCCTCAGACTGCACTGGGGCTTGTCCCTCCCCCAGCCTCTGGAATGCCTCCAGGCCCACTCCCCAGTGAGTCTCACCATGTGGAGCCACAAGGGGGCCTCTTCAAGAAGTGGGTGCAGAGGACTGGAGTATGCAGCCACCCCACTCCACCCTCCCACCCCCTTACAACCCCCACCACTACCCCGTCATGGGTGCGCAGCAGGGCCTGGCTGTACTCTAAGGCCCTAATCTTGCGCCATTTTGTCACTACCCTCTTGTGGACGCTCTTTGTTCCTCTCCGGATAGAGTGTGAGCCCTGTCTTGTCCCTGTCTGCGCATGCTCCTCAGTGTGATGGGAGCGGGCTCCAGAGAGCATCGCCAGCCTCCAGCGGTTTTCCCTGTGGAAGCTGAGCTATGGTGAAGGCTGGGGCCTTCCCGGGGTTACACAGAGATGTCATAGCTGAGGCAGGCATTTGAATTCTGCCTTCAACACTCCGCCAGGCTTTGCCCACTTTGAACTCCCAGCCACCCCAGCTCCCTCAGAGCGTCCCCATCATCCATCCTATGGGCCAAACTTGCCCTTGCTGAGGCCCAAGGACAAGGCGGCTGCAGAGGAGACTCCAGGAAAAAGGAAAAAGGACTGAGGCACCAAAATAACTGAGTCCCTTTTCTTTGTTCTTTTTAAAGTGTATTTTTATTGATTTCAGAGAGGACCGGAAAGGGAGAGAGAGAGAAAAAAAAACATCAATGATGAGAGAGAATCACTGATTGGCTGCCTCCTGCACAGCCTCACTGTGCTCAAGCCCACAAACGGTGCATGTACCCTGACCGGGACTCGAACCATGACTTCCAGGTTCATAGGTTGACCACTGAGCCACACCGGCCAGGCATGAACCCTTTCTTTGAGAAAAGGAATATTTAAAAATCAGAAGGTGATTCTCTCATTTGAGAGGAAAACCTGCTTTCATTAAATGGGAACTACAAGTCGAACTACCCAGGGGTAAAAGTACCACGTGCTCTAAAAAGTTTTCATCCGTGTTAAGAATCTAAGTTTATCACCAGGAACTGAAAGCTTTGCAAGCTGACCAGGTAATGTGTGAGAATGCCTTCGTGCACTGGCGAAAGGACAACATTCAAAACAGGGCTGCCGAACGCTGGCTTCCCCACACAGCCTCCTGCTACGAGAAAGCTCCGCTTCTGACATTGGGGAAGCCAGCGTCCGACAATGTAGGTAAACCCGCCCCTGTTCCCTGTGTGACTTACGTTTTGGGATATTTTTAAAGTGTCCTTCCCAATCTGAAGCACAATCATGTTTTGAATATTGTACTTTAGACAACGTACAGAGATGCAGTTTTGACATTCACAAACACAACATGGAAATCTGCGCGCTCTGAGGGGGCGGAGTTTTGTTCAAGTTCACCTCCGTCAACTAGAGCTGTGTCATCTGATAGGTGAGCCCAGTGGTCGGCAAACTCATTAGCCAAAAGAGCCAATGATCAACAGGACAACAATTGAATTTCTTTTGAGAGATGAATTTTTTAAACTTAAACTTCTTCTAACGCCACTTCTTCAAAATAGACTCGCCCAGGCCGTGGTATTTTGTGGAAGAGCCACACTCAAGGGGCCAAAGAGACGCATGTGGCTCGCGAGCTACAGTTTGCCGACCACTGGGTTAGCCATTAACCTCATGGGCCTATTTACATTATAGTCTATTAAGATTCCTGAGAAGGATTCAATTCAGCTCAGTCAGATGCTCACAGCCTCTCGAGGCGGGTGGCTGCCGTGTTGGATGGGACGATGTGGGACATTGCCGTCTTCC